AACAAGGAGCTTGCTCCACCAGTTCAGACTCAGATTAAAGGGCATGCCTCTGCTCCATACTTTGGAAAAGAAGAACCCTCCGTGGCTCCCACCAGCAGTGGCAAAACCTTTCAGCCAGGATCCTGGCTGCCACAGGATGACAAGGGCCACAATCAGTGAATGTGCCGTGGTAAAATTTTATTTATGTGACTATTTTAACAAATAAAAGTGAAAAGTTACTTTGTGCTTTCCAACTCTACTATAGTTCTCTTTTCCATTAAGCTTAAGATCTTGTTTTTACTGTTGCATAAGTGTGAGGTTATCAACCATCAAAACCTGGCTTCTTATAGACCTAAATCCTTCACTTGGTTTATTCAGTCAGCATTCTTTGTTTATGACTTTGCTTAGTTTTTTCCTCTTTTATTTGCTTCCATATATCTTGGTAGAAATGGTAAGGGTAAATAAATATTGAGCTCAGGAAAAAACTGCTATTTCTATAGATTCTAAAGGACTAATTTCTATCATTCTAAAGGATCTATAGAAATTAGAGAATATAGAAATTCTCTGTTAATGAATTTTCTTAGATTTTTCCCTCTTTGGATTGCTCCCATGTATCTAGGTAGAAATGGTAAGGGTAAGTATTGAGCTTAGAAGAAGACTGCTAGATTCTAAAGAATTCTAAAGGACTTTAATTTCTATAGATTCTAAAGGATTCTAAAGGACAGTAAGATTCTAAAGGACTAATCAAAAACATGAACTTGGATGAGGCATGTGGAGGCCAAGAAAATTTACTTGATTAAAAAAAAAAACTGTCTTGATGAGTAGATGGGACAAAAGCTAGTTTATGTTGGGATTGAGGTTGGAATTTTAAAGAAAGGAATTTGAACCAGTAGAAGTAAAGAATCTATCACAATAGTCTGGAAGGACAGTAAACAGAGAAATGGCACAGTAGTAGTTTAGTTCTGTGAGATTAAAAATTACTTTGAAGAAATGGAAAATAGAGCAGAGTTCTCAGAAAGTGATTCCACTGTTACTCAAGATTACAGTGATTTGTATATTGAAGAAAAGTATAGGTACGTGATAACATTAAAACAGATTATATACAAATGTGTTTTAGAAAGGTCATACACTTTCTGAAGTGCACGACCAAGTTTCTATTGCTAACAGTTCTAATTCCTTTTTTTTTTTTTTCCATTTATGGTTTTCTTTCTCAAACTTTGAACTTTTTATTTTGTATCGGGGTACAACTGATTATCAATGTTATAGTAGTTTCAGGTGAACAGCAAAGGGAGTCAGCCATAAAATGTGTCCATTTTCTCCCAAATCCCTCTCCCAGTTCTAATTCTAATATAGTTCTAATAGTTCTAATATAGAGATCACCCAACAGTGTTTGGCATTGTAACAACTACTCAATAAACATGGACTGAAAAAAAGACTCCGATCTTAATGCTTTGAATAATATAAGAAAATCCTTGGTTAAGTGTTTAATAATGCATTCCTAAAGACACATAGGTTGAGATTTTTACTTAATAGAAGGTAAAATGTTTAATTGCTTAAGAAATAAACTACAGAAACATTGATAAAATGTTACACTAAAAACAAGTAATCAAATGTAATCACCATAATACTTAAGGAATGACCAAAAAAGCCCTTAGGTAATATTAACATTCAAGCAGCCCAGTTACTATCAGGCTAATTATTCTGTCTGTTTACATTATTATAAAGTAGTATTACATTTTGGCAAAGGAACTAGCTCCTAGGCAATATAAAAACATAAAATTTGTTGTGTAATTGACTGTAAAGTAACATGGTCTTGAATCCTTGATTACAGGAAAAATTATAAATTCTAACATGCTAGAATAGAATGCTTCTACTACCAAATTCCTACCGGCTTATTAATTGCATTCTGTATACATCTTTTACAGATGTTTGCCGTGTAGGCTGTTTCGTGCGTGCTTGTGTGCTCACTCAGTCCTGCCCGACTCTTTGCAACCGTATGGACTGTATAGCCCACCAGGCTCCTCTGTCCATGGGATTCTCCAGGCAAGAATACTGGAGTGGGCGTTTATAAGTATCTTAATATATATGACAGAATTTACGTTAATTTTAATTTGTATAGTTTCCATTTTAAAATAACTGTTTTAGAAAAATAAAATCTTAGCCAGTAGTTAACAGGAAGATGATGATACTGGCCCACTATTAAAGTGTGCACTTTCAAAGTGATTTTAAAAGATGAGGATAAAGTTTGTAGTAATCCATCCACATTACTTCCCTCTAGACTAACATTTTTAGAATGACTGGTTATACTGTTAGATGGTATCATCTCAGAACTGTTAGGGTTCTGAGAACATTTAGTCCTACATAAAAACGAGACTATAAACTTGACCTAATTAAGGCTGCCTTTCTAAACAATCTTGTTTTTATACAAGGCTTTTAGGCCAGACACATGCACTGCAGAATCAAAATTTTACATAAAATATTTACTTGTCTACTGTATTTCATATTTTAAATAGTTTTATTTGGGGTATTTGCAAGTTTTCTAATGAAAATGTTTTTCATCATCTCTTCAAGACAGACTCCAAACCCACGCAGTTTTAAGTTCAGAAGTTAAAATGTTCATTTTAAAATAGTGTCACATATGCCTTAACTACTCTCAGATAAATCCTTTTTTTATGCCTATGCTATACACGCATATAGCATTTTTCTCCCCAAAGCCCTTATTACACAAATTGTTCAAGTATACATGTATTGTTTGTTGGGTTTAACCATGTAAGTCTAGCCTGTTAGATATCTGAAATTAAAAATTAAAAAAATAATAATAATAATTTTCCGCACTATGTTATCCTTTTTCATTCCTATTTTTACAAACAGCTCTGTTATTTATTTCTTACTTTTATCAACCTTGATTCAGTACCATCATATTGATTTTTTTAATACTATCTTATTAAGCACACTATTTAAAATGTAACCTGAATTCACTTAGACTAGGCTTTCTCAAACTGTGTTCTTTGAAGAAGGGCAGAAAAGAGGGGAGGAAAGTCTATGATAATCAACGTAACCTAAAAGACTCCAAGAAATCATGCAGAAATGAATTGCTTTACCCCGTTTCCAAAACTTTTGGCATTTGAACACAGAACCCCTTTTAATATGTTTGAGAAATACAGAATTTGTCCTTATACATTTATTACAGATATGAAGCAAATACAAGTGAGCCTATACTCAACTGCAAATGTAAAAACAATCATTCCTAAATAGGAATCACACTTCCTCTAACTTAAAACCAGATGAGGTATCAAGTGCCCCTAAGGATAGGTGAGAAGCTGTTTGTTATAGTGATCTCAGCATTGGGTTTCCAGCTCATTGCATCAGAAGCCTATTTCTTTTGCTCACTGTGATGTCAGGAAATAAGTTTAAAATGCCCTTGCACATCTGATACAATAACACCATACTTAGGTTTACCACAGGACACTATGGGTCAAATTCTGATACGCAAACTTTTGGGGAGGGAGGCAGTATAATGTTTGTTATAGGCAGTCTTGTTTTTCCTTCAAAACCAGCCATAAAAGGTAATTGATTATACTACTAAGAACTTCAGAAACAACATAAGAGGTTGGTAGTTTTTAAAAGAAGTATTCTGGGTAACAGTAAATGGGATTCAACTGTAATAGTATGTTGTAACAAGACTGATTTTTCTGAAGAATATCAAACCTCACAATAATTATCAAACCTCATAATAATTAAGTCCCCAACTTAATTTTTCAACTTTATGATACTGAACAGAAACTGTTGAAGTTTGACCTTATCTCAGGCTAGTGGTATACGCTAGTACACTGTTGATGCTGAGCAGTGGCATGGAGCCACAGCTGCCAGTCACCCAATCGCAAGTAAACAACTGATACGCACTCATCCTGTTCCCACACAACCATCCTGTTTCTCACTTTCAGTACATTATTCAGTAAATTTTCAATCTGTAATGGGTTTATCAGGATGTAATACATCCCTACCCCTGCAACACACACAACATATAGACACGTATTGTAAAACCCTGTTGATCTCAAATGTATAAAATGGCTCTATAAATGGGAAAAGCTGAAGAAACAACAAACAGCCTATGTCAAAGAACTACAAAATTGTATTAAGACCAACAGGAACCATGAGAAACCCTATTTTAGTTAAATACCTTTTAACTGTCCAAATGAACAGTGAAACCATAGCTTTAGTAGATAACTAAAAATTTTAATTTCAGTAATACAAAAAGCACATCCAAGATCACCTGAATAACTAATTGGTAATGAAACACTGAATTATTTCAGTGCCTGGAGTTGCAGTGTGTTGCTTGCACTGGCATCAGGAAGAAACTGACAACCTAAAGTAATAGTAATTAAGTATTGTTCAAACCAGCCCATAAACATTCTCAGAGGTCCTTAGGTTCTCATATTGGAGGAACATTGCTCTCAACTTTTACACGTACAGTTGACCCTTGAAGAACACGGGTCCAAACTGTGTGGGGTCACTTATACAGTTTTTTCAATAGTAAGTACTACAATACTGCATGATTCAGGGTTGGATGAGAAACTGTGGGTACAGAGGAACCTTGGAACTGCAGACACAGAGAATCTGCACATAGGAACACTGTATAGTGAGGGTCCACTTACAAGTTATTTTCAATTTCGAGGGAGGGCAAATGTTCCTAACCCTGTGTTGTTCAAGGATCAGCTGTATGCTTATCTACAAATGAAATTCATAATCCTTTGTAAGGTTTAACTTCTGTAACGTATCTAACCTGAATTATTATCCCCTCCCCCCCAAAAAAGCTCAGGACCTCTTTATAAAAAAGTATCAAATTTATTTCAATATCTAGTTTCATTTTTAAATTAAAGCTATTGGACAATTTTTTGCAATTTAAAATTCATTATTAGAGGTGAGCAAAACATTAATAAGCTATTAATTATTGAAAACAAAATTATCAACCATGCATTTAAAAAAGCCATGTTAAAGAGGAAAAAGTTCCAACTATACTATTTAACTGAAGGAAATATCCTTTACCTCTTTATTTTGAACATTCTCATTTTGACATAATTTACACCTTTTTCACACAGTTAATACAATGCAAACAAAATTTTTCCAAATGTTAAGACTTTTGTTACCCTTTATGACACATGACATAACTGTAACTCTTTAAAAGTTCCTTAAAAGAAAGTTGAAATTTTAATTTTCACCATGAACCTGTCTGATCAAAAAGTAAAGGACATCACCACCACATGAATTAAAACAAAGAATAGAATAAAAAACAAAAGTGGTATCTATATAATCAGCAAATTATCTGATAAGACATGTTAACTACTTCATATTTCTACTTAGCACAAGTGAGAATAAACTGGTTCCAAGGTACTACAGGTTTGGCATTTTTGCTCTTAAGCTTTAAATCATAGTGTTACTCTACTCAAGTCATCTCTAAGAAAATGGCAGTGTTCATAAGTAGAAAAATGATTATATCCAGTAGGTGGTATTCTACATAATCAAGATAACAAGAAAATTCTTTATAAAATTAGATTTTTAAAAATGCAGACTATCTGGTAATTACCAGTATCTCAAAAGCTAAAGTAAGAAAAATACAGAAAATAGAGAAGTACTCATTGAATGATATTATTTTGCTTTGAGGAAACCAGAAATGATTCTATTCCAAGAAATAATAACGATAAGAGATGTAATTAATACACCATGTATCTTTTAAGCCAAACCACGCTTTTCTGCTCAGAACAACTCTTGATTTTTACATTCTTAATCTCCTCTGTCCAGAAGAGGACCACATTTTAAGCCATTATTTGAATAGAGTTCATAATCTAAAGTCACTTTTCTTCACAGGATGTTTTCATTTTAGTATTCATACATAAGCTGCAAAAAGGCAAATGAAAGTCAGTTAAAAGAATCTGTAGCATAATAAATGCCCATTTACAGTAACTGTCAACAGACTTCTATACCGAAGCCGAAAAGCTGCTACAGTACAGGTGAGAAGTGACATGATTCTTCCATAGACTCAGACTTCGTTTAGTAATACTGTCATAAGATCCAAAAAGAAACCTTAACGGGTCCTTTCAAAGATGCATAATTTTCCGAACAATTTTCCTCTGGACACACAGCCTGTTCATTCCGTCAATCCTTTTTTAGTCGTTTAGGTTTTGCAATATTTTCTTGACGTTTTTGTTTCTTCTTTTGCTCCTTTTCCCTGGCCTCAATCATCTTGGCCAGTTTCCAAGACAGCACAGCGCTTGCTAGGAACAATGGAGTCAGAGCCAGAATGACTGTCGTAAGGAAGCCGTAAGGGTCCTTTGCAGCCCACTCCACGACATACTCAGCCCAGGCCTTTAGGTCAAACATCTTCCTGGAGGCCTTAGGAAAGGGGTGGGGAGCGGGGGAAAGACAAGAGAAAAGATTACGTGGTTAATCAGATTTTGTCAGGGTTACACCAAACAGTTAAATCAGAATTCTATTATCACTCAATAGTTTTTTGTTTGGTTTTAAAAAGTACTAATTAGTACTATTTTAATAAGGACTAATAGTTCCAATAAAAAAAAATAATTCACGTAAGACAACCAGGAGAATGATACTTAAAAGATGTGAAGATACAGAAGAGAAAAAAAAGCATGTGGAAGCTGTTATAAGGACTATGCATTCTCACATGCCTCCTACACTCAAGTCAAACTTTAGCAGCAGAGTTTTATAAGAATCTTGAGTTTTATGTGCCTATTCCAGGGTACAGCTGAATCCCATATGTCATTTTCTGACACAGCCTTATTAACAAAAGTCGTGGTTCAGTCAGTAAAGAATCTGCCTGCAATGCAGGAGACATGGGTTTGATCCCTGGATCAGGAAGATCCCCTGGAGAAGGAAATGGCAACCCGCTCCAGTATTCATGCCTGGAGAATCCCATGGACAGAGGAGTCTGGTGGGCTACAGTCCAGGAGGTAGAAAGACAGACACAACTTAACAACGAAACCTCCACAAAAAAGTACAGTCATCAAATTCGGTGTCTGAAAGTCAAGAGTATGTGAAATGCCTGGAGAAAGGGACATAATGGATGGCTGTTTCCAAAATGAAACAAGAAGGTAAGGAAACCATGATATTATCCATTCATATGCAAAGAGAGAAAAAAGATGACATGCAATTTTAGGCCCTCCTTCAGTTTTGAGGACATAATATAGTAAATGAGAACAAACTTAACAGATGAGAAAATTAACCATTACAGGTCCCATGCCTTTTGTTCCATTTTGAGTGAGTAAAGAAGGGGCATCTGGCAAATCAGGATGTTGTAAATTTGAGTGATATTTTCTATTTTGCCCCCAGAGAATTTTCAACTTTTCATGTTTGTGTCAATCTCCATTCAAAGTGGAGAATTAGAATAGCTGGGATTTAAAAAGTCATGTACCTTATGCTTGAGTAGTGATCTCTAATTTTGTCCTGGGATTATCAGCCAGTCACAATTTCAGATGACCTTTGGTTAGCTGTCTTCTTCTTTAACTCTACCAATACACTTCTGAGAGAAGGCTTAAATTCTATATACTGGTTGGGTTGAAAAGAATAGACAAAAGAAAAACCGTAAAGTCACGACCTTAAGGAATAAATTATAATACAATTTTAGATGTTAAAATTGTAAATTCTCTATATGCAACCTATAAATAACATGTAAAGTTGCCTGGCATATTAAATACATTCAGTATCTATTTCTTTCTAATCTTAAGAAATAATTACACAACTAAAATGCCCTGAAGAAGCTCCTAATTACTGGGGATCAAATATTTTACTCAATTACTTATTTCAACAATAAATTTAGAAAGCTCACTCACGTAAAAAGCTAACCGACCTGCTGCAGCATATCCATTCCTCGTTCTTGAACTTTTTATATTTTTATAGGGTTAGGTTTGTTTCATTTTGAGTTAGTAAGGGAGGGCCTTACTAATTTCAAAATCAAACACCGCTTTACTCTTAAAAAGGTTTTTTAGTCTCATTATATAATTTGTGTTCTTTACAGGAAAATCAGACATAAGCAAAACAAAATATGTCACCCACAATTCTATTACCTAAACAAAACTACCATGATTGGTTTTAATTATATCCAATCACAATTCCTTCATATTTTTACCTAAAGACACAAAGTTCCTTTGCCGTTAAATAAAGTTCCTAGCTTTCCCCCCACACCCAATTCGTACGCCCCCACCCACAGTGAAGACTAGATTCTACAGATCCCCATCTGTTTTTCCAGCTTCTCCAGCCCAGTAATGAATTAATTAATGCAAGATTCAGAGACCTGCAAAAGAACTTTGCAATAGAGGAAGGCGGAAGTGAAGGACCTAGTTATGGCAGTTTTAGACATTAATACAGAGAAAGGAGGTACCAACCACAGGATACACACCTCCCGTGCACCTCAATTTCGGACCCTAGGTGTAAGCGCCCTCCACACTTTAAGGAATAAATATTATTCTTCTTCCTTCCGATAAGGATCCACCAGGCATGATCTTCGGATCAGACCCGCACGGCGCCTGAAGGTGAGGGCACCTCACAGCCACCCGCACTGTCCTTTCGTGTGTTTTCCCCTCGCTCACCCTTCCTCACTCTACCCGTTGGCCCGCCGCTGGGGCCACGCTTCCCCGACCCTCCGCCTCGGCGAGCGCGGGCCCGGCGGGGCTCGAACAGCCGGCGGTCCCCGGGAATCAGAGGTCATCCCCGCCACACCCTGGGCCCCCGGCGCGTGGCCACCTCCGCTGAGCCCCGGGGCAAAACCGCGGCACCGACCGCCACCCGCCTCCCCTACATCTCGCTGGGGACGACGAGTTCGGACCCCCACTCCCGACTCACCTCCAGGCCGGAAGCAGCAAGGCGGAAGCCGCGACTCTCCCAGCCCGCCCACAGGCCGGCCCTCGCCCGGATCCGGCCTGAGGAAGTCGAGGGGCCAGTTTCCGGCTGCGCCATTGCTGTGTGGGTCCCGGGACCCGGGCTCCGAGAACGCGGGGAGGGTGGGGCGGCGCCTGGGTTTCCGGGGAGAGGCAGGTGAGGCCGCTCGAGGTGAGCGGCGGCGCCAGGCTAGGGTCTGGCCCGAAGCCCGAGTCCCGCGCCTCCTGCCTGAGGCGCGGGTGGGCTCCGGTGTCTGGGAGCCGGTCTGGAAGCGCTGAGGACCCCCTACCTTTGCCCCCGAGGTCATCAGGAGAACAGCGGCTCCCCTGCGGGAGCCTGGCCGAGAGTAGAGGGCCCCGGTGGGTGAGGTCCGTGACCCCTGGAAACTCCGACCAAAGAACGGCGGCCAAGAAAGGAGGTGGTCCCCGCAAACCGCCCAGAGGCAAGGTGAAGGTCCCCCAGCGACGCCTGAAGGATTCTAGCGAGTTCCTCTGGTTCCCATCCACTCTGACCCTCTCCTCTTCTGGTTGGACGACAGTTAAAGCCTCACGTCGAGGAGCCCAAGCAGCCGCAGGACCGTGCTGGGTCCACTGACGTTGTTTCTAAGGGAGAATATAGCCATGCCGTGTGAAGAAGAGTTTTTGTCGTTTTCAATTTAAGAACCTCTTTTCACAAAGAGTGATCGATATTTGCCCAAAGTAAACTTGATAAATAATTAAACTGTGTGGGCATAGAGTTCCCATAGAGGTGCTTATTCTTTCAGTGCACAAATAAAGAGATTCAAAAGTCAACAAGCAGAAAGAGTGAGTGCTCATTGTCTTCTAATCTACAGGAACTGAGAGATTAGCTTGGGTTTGGTTGGTGATCAAGTTTTGTGATCTCTTGCACTGAACTGCTCTGTTTGACTACCTCTTCAAATGTTGCAAGACCTCTTCACTGGTGTGTGCCAAATAAAGCAGGTTTTTATTCTTGAAAGACTATAGAATGTTCTCTTTGAGGAGCAAGCTGTGACATGTATAACTAGTTTAGGGATAACAACAGTAACCATTATTTACCAGGAAACAGACTTTTGGCAAATAATCTAATGATCTAAAATACTGTTTGTTGGGCATATGTTAATGTTTGTATGTTGTATTAGTAGCAGTTGTTTTCTTACTCATTCTTGTTTGAAAACTTGGATGATGGTTTCAAAGCTTGTGCTGCTTGGACCTAGCCTGTACCTGTAGTAGCCAGAAAAAGCAGACTCAGTCATTGGATTGTGTGTACAGAAAACTTGACTTGCTGGCAGTAAGACTTTGTGGGTTTTTTTGGTTTTTTTTAACTTGCCCAAATAGTAATTCCAGGAGAGGGTTAGAGTTTATTTTAACGTCCTTCACTCCAGAGACCAGTATGTGTATGTGTTATTTTAATCATGGTTAGACAGTTTTCCTGATGACTGCCTCCCCAATAATTCGCTCTGCTGTGTCCCTTGTGAAATGCATGGGAGTGGATGGAAAGGCACGTAAGAAGGAAGCGTCTGTAGCTCTTCGGCTCTAGTGTAAATCAGGCTTTCACTGTCTTAATGTTACTGGTCTCCTTTCCAGTTTCAGGAATGGCTACAAGCCCAAGAATAGCATAGAAGTTGCCACAGCTAAGCTCCCTACTGCTACCTGAGTTGCCTTAATGAAAGGTGGTGTCAAGATTGGTTCAGATGGTGCAGGCTACTTTCTAGAGTCAGGAGTTTTGGCTTGTGAGTTGAGATTCACAGGCCTTGTCTCTGGTGATTTGATACTCTGAAATTTCCTCTTTTGTATGTGGAAAGCTGTTAGATTATCTCTGGGGTTCTTTCAGCTTGAAAATTCTATTGATTAAACTGGATTTGGCCATTTTTCTTACTTCAGCTTCAAAAGCAGCAGCAGAATAAGGAATGTAATGGAAACATCATGGCCAATTTTCATAAGGGCTTGTTCTTTATTTGAAAGATTCTTAATTGAGTATTTGTTCTCTGTCAGATGTCTTTCAGAATTAACTTAGAATAACATGAAAATAAGGTCTGCTTGTATTTTTATTAAGAAATAAAATCTTAACCATTCATGTAGGTTTAACCAAAATAACTAAAGCTTACACTTTAGTTAATGAGGGGTTGTCTTTGCATAAGAATTACTTTATAGCACATCACGTCATATCCACACCAGTTACTCTGTTGCAATTACAGTTTGAAAATGGAGCCTTCCAAATTTCTGAGTTTTTTACTCTTAATAAAGTAAGTCCTCTTCTTTCATTCATTTCAGTTCAGTTCGGTTCAGTCGCTCAGTCGTGTCCGACTCTTTGCGACCCCATGAATCGCAGCACGCCAGGCCTCCCTGTCCATCACCAACTCCCTTGTAATGTCTCTGCTTTTTAATATGCTGTCTAGGTTGGTCATAACTTTCCTTCCAAGGAGTAAGCGTCTTTTAATTTCATGGCTGCAATCACTTAGTTCTGTTTAAAAGTCTTTCTCTCTTAGGTGGTACATTTTCACCCTGACTCATGTCAAAATTGTGAGTGACTAAAACCTCCATAAGATTCTGTTAAAATAATCTAGACTTAACTAAAGATTTTAAGAGCTTTCTTACCTGCTTAACAATTTGTGTTTTTGTTTTTGGTAGAATTGGTTTCTTCCCTAAGTTTAATTTTATGAGTTTTTTCCTACCATTAAAACACAATGCAGATAGATTTCTTATTAGGCACATTTATGCAAAAATATTAGGCACATGTATGTAAAACTAGAAAGGTCATAGGTTTTAGTGATATTTGGAAGAATATACTGCAGAATTGTAATGTTTAAAGGCTATTGACTGCTATGTTCCAGGTACTAGGCTAGATGCTTCGCATCTCATCACTATTGCTGAGACTAAATTCTGCAGGATTTAATACCTCTTTTAGATATGGGACCAGAGACTTAAAAAATAGAGCAGAATTTTAAACATATCTGGCCAAAAAAAAAACCCTGCTCTTGTTTAATTCCAGAGATTAGACAAAAATGCTGATCTCATAAAATGAAAGTAAATTTTTTATTCTATTGTTGATTTAACTAATAATCACAAGGAAATCTTGCCATACTTCAAATTGCCCATTGCCCAGGTGGTGGCAGCATGTCTCAGAGAGCTAGTGTGGTGTAGGTTTTCTCCAACTTTGCCAGTTGATTTGCTTCTTCATCCCACATACATCCATGACCTGTCTGTTAATCTCTACTTCTCTCTCGGGCACTTTCACTGCTCTTAGACCAACCCATCAGTGATTCACTCCATCTCCCATTCTCCCTTCCACCTCATCTTCTGAATGGGTCATACTCTGCCAATTTGCTCTCAGCCTATTCCAAGGGCAGCCTATACTGGCCGGCTGCAGTCCATGGGGTTGCAAAGACATGACTGAGCAACTAACACTTACTTGCTTATTTTTCCTACAAAGAAAGCATCACCTAAGTATTATTTTTTGGAAAAAAGACTTTTTTCCCCCCTTCAAATATTGTTAGTTTTCATCCATTTTTGTTAAATGTAATTTGGCAAAAGCACATCATAAACGAAATAATTGGCTGATATTATTATGAAATACTTGTTTAAATTAGAAGACGTGTGTCTTAAATGTAATGGGATATACCAGTTAAGAAGGTAATGAAAAGCTTTTAAAAGATAGAATTTGTCTTCAAAATAAGAACAAAAAGATTCAGTAGGGAACAGTGAAAGGTCATATAATTTATAAGGATGTGTGTGTGTATGTATAAGAATAACTAACTAAACCTACCTTAGCCAAAAATTTCTTGGAACATTGTCCTTGCAGGGCTACTTCTTAGAGACTTCAAATCAGATGGTACCTCACAGAAGCCCTCTCTACCCCCGTTTTATTTTTCTCACAGCACTTCAGTCTGACGTCTTGTTTACTGGTTTATTGTTTATCTTCTCCCTGCTAGAATGTAAGCTAGATGAGATCAGTTACCACAGTACCTAAAATATTGTTTTGAATAATTGATTCCAAGATACAACATTACCGCTTACAAATAAAGCTGTTAGTGTTGGAATGAATCATGAAATAATCTAAATCCTAAGAATCTGTGAAGCTGATGTTAAAGTGTTAAACTGTTGTTGTATATTTTGAAAGAAATAAGGGATGCCCCAGTAAGAATAGACCCCAGAAAAGATTAGTAGATAAGATGTTTTGGAAAGATAAAAATAATTGCGGTTATCTTGTTAATGAAAGAAGACTAGTTGCTTAAGGATTTCCAAGTGTGTAAAAGGTAAGTTCAAGGAACCTAGTGATCCATCATCTTCATTGATAAAGAAATTCGTCCTAGACTGTAGGTGCTAAGAATTAAGATGACAACAAGAGATAGACTAGATAGACTAGAGATCTAAATAGAGATCTTTGAAAATGAGGTAAGAGTATGCATTATGCAGGCTAGATCTCTCTAGATATTTCCCGGCTTTATGATTCCCGATGCAGATTGCAAGAGAAAGATCAGATAGCAGATGCTTATCTCATTGATTATTCCTTGCTCCCTGTGGCCTTATCTGCACATTTAAAAAACTTCTCAGTGTGTTTGAGTGATATGTATTGATACTTTGGGTAGTTTATAGAAGTTTTGTCACGTGATTGAACACTGGGTGTTCTACCTTTTTAACGCTGCAACTGTTTACAATTCTATATCTCCAGATTGTATTCTACATGTACATGCAGCAAACTAATTCCCTGTA